AATCATTTCCATATGTGAGGTGTGCCCCTTTCCCAATTGGGACACTCACCCTTTCCGCTGCAAACATGGCATCACTCTCCTTGAATTCTGGGAAAACATGACCTGCAGGCAAGATCAACAATGTCACTCTGTTGGGATCTTCAACCACTGGCACTAGCTGGTACTTGGGATGGGGGCACCAAGTGACAGACCTGAGAAGCTGTGCACACAAGCCATTTACCTCCTCACCACGTTCCCTTTTCCAACCAAAGAAAACATGACATCCCCACAAAAGTACTGAGGGGATGAGGCTAGAGCAATCTGCATAGATTGGCCTTCCAGAATTAAGTCCAACAAACCGCCTGATCCATAGTGCAACATATCATAATATCACAAGTGACAAAGATCACAGAAATTCTTCTTGGCTCTGGAAGCTACTGTGTTCCGTTAGGGCTTATACCTAAGACACTGACACGCTACATGGAAGCTGGTCATTGCTGTTTCTTAAAACAAATGCACCAGTGTGCTTTCTCCAGATCCCCAACTGAACATACTCCGTCTCCCCCCCCCTTCTTCACAGCACAGGTCACTCATCCTTACCTTCAACCTTCATGATCTGGTAAGTGTCCTGCACCACCTTGTACTTGGGTTCATTGCGGAAGGCATGAGCCCATGCCTGGATCAAGTACAGGATCTTGTTGCGAACATTGGCTTCAACTTGTCTCTGTAGAAATGTGCAGAGCCAGGATCAGGCAATATGCCCAATGGAAACGAACCCACAATCTTCCAAGGGGACAGCGTAAGCGCAATTTAACTGGGAAATGACACTTGGAGCAATGCCCCTTGCCATCTAGTATCAGAAACCCAACCTCAGTTATTCTCTTTGCTCACTACCTATATATTCATCTTCTACTAGGGGTGGGAAGGACAGAAAGAGTGGTTTTCCTTGTAAATTTCCTCCTGCTGGAAAGGAACTCAATGTTTGGCCTATGAGGGTGCTTCACTGTTTATAAATTTGGATTTCTTTTTCTTTAAACAGCTGCTTATGGAGAGGAGAAACAGCCAAAAAGCTCCTACCTTCAGCAACTCCTTCAACTCCTCCATGGTCTGTTTGTTAGCCACTTCATCGTGAACTGTTTGACCACAGTTCTTTACCACAGATTCCAAGACCTACAAGGAAAATATATTCATGAGCATGAACTGTCCCTGACCAAATATTCAAAGAGGTGCCCTGCTGAATCAGGTCAAAAGCCTATCTAATCAAGTATCCTGTTTCCCCCAGTAGCCAACCAGATGTCCATGGAAATACCACCAGCAACCAATACAAATGCAACGGCCCTTTCCCACTGTTTTCCCCCAGAGGACTGATATTGAGAGGCAATACCTCTGGTATTGGAGGCACTGATAGCTTTATCCTCCAGGAATCTGTCTAATCCCCTTTTAATGTTGCTCTAGTTAAAAGTAATTAGCAGCAGAAGTTCTGGTCCTCCTTTGAACAAAAAGTGGGCTGGCTGCACATCTCTCTCGCAAGGTTAGGGAAAGAAAGCTTCTCTCATTGACCTGGGAGAGTGAATACACCCTGAGGAAGTTGTGTTCACTTTAGCTTACCTCTAGTGCATAGAGAGCCACATGTGGATTCTTGTCGTTGACTTTCTTCTTTATTGCACCAACAGCATATTTAGCCCTGGACAACAAAATGCGAAGAATAACAACTCAGTCTAACGGCAGCATACAAGGACCCGTTGTCATTCTGAAGCCACCCCAAAATCCCTGCTCTCATGAAATATAATAGCAGCGCTTATAATGGAAGAGGAAAAGGTGTCAATATGTGTCAAGATTCGAAGCTAAATTATTAGACTAATCTATAACTGTTCCATTTACCAATCAAAATCACTGATGTGTGAGGCAGTGAATATCTTGCACGTCTGTGAGTTTACTACGTAATGCGGAAACTGCTGTGTGATGAAAGAATATGCATCATTTTCTTAAGTATCAGTAGTTGTAGAAAACACTTGGAAATACATGCAGTGCCTTCTCTACCTATTCTTTTCTACAGATACCTTCCTTGTCAAATATTTTCAGACAATTTTGTTATTAAAACAGAACACAGAACCAAGCCAATATAAGCAAACATAATTGTCACATAATTATTATTATTTTCCTTTTGCACAAGAGCTGGAACTTCTTTGTTGGCAGCATGTCTCTAGTTTCACAGGACAAGAAACCCACAAAACAATTTCCTCATCTCCTTCAGCAGAGGACATATATCTAGAAGATCTCGTATGGAGTTTTAACAGTTGTTCTGTTAATAAATACACTAATAAATACACTGGGATGAGATGGAATTTTAATATCCAAAAAAGACTGACATTAATAGATGACTTAATTGACTATCCTGAAAATCCATTTTTCTGAAGAAAATTTACAGCTACTCAGAAGATATACCTTCCAGACACTAAGCTGAACCAATGCTCACACCAGTACAACACGACAGTGCTCAGCAACACCACGTCCTTCTCAGTAAACAATGACAGCAGCCAAATTGTTGGGGGCCACCAGAAATCACCTGGTGGGGGGGGGTCCACACATGGCCCACATGTTATTTACCTCTGCGTTAGTTTCATAGACACAGAGCATGCCATAGTAGCAACAATGTTGGCTTTGGATGTGGAAACCCCCAGGTTCAAATTTTTGCTCACCCTTGAGGATCAAAGGATGAACCTGGGCAACCACAAATACTCAACTTACTCTACCGCAAAGGGCAGTTGCGAGGTTAAAATGTGGGACAGCTCAGTGTCCTAAACCTATCAATAAACCTTGATGCTTATGGAGTGAAGAAAGATTGATGCAGGCATCAGCACTTACTGGGTGTCACCCTGACGAATCATATCACAAATCTGGAGGATGGACTCCCAGTCTGTCTCCAGCAGCAGCTGACTGGTAGCTTTATCTGAAATACATTGAAATAACCATTAACCATTCAGGTCAAATGCTAATATAGTTATTTGCTTTGGGAGTCTGTTGGACAAATAAGCCATACTTGGTATTTGTTGGTAGAGTACACCAGAAATTTGAGAACCTAGAGCATTTTGTTTTGTGACCTACTGTTCACCTAACAGTATCTTGCAAAATATCTTACATGTCTATACTTGGCATCAGCCCTTTGTATGTGGATTATAATTTTATTGAGTAATTTCAGTTGCATGGAATGGATGGTGAGTGGGATTGGGTGAGTGGTTGTATGAATGATGTGCATTATTTTGGTTGAAATTTTATGTTGTACTGTATTGTCTTGTAACATTCTCTGACTTTATAATTGATATTATGTTTATGATGTATGGTATATAGAAATGGATATTGTTTATGAATTTGTTGTGTTTATATATAAATCATTTTATATGGTTTTTATTTTAATTATGGTGTTTCTAAATTTATTTTTATCTATTGTAAACTGTTGAGATTTTCATATAGTTTGCAATCTGTAAATGGAAACAACTGTTATGTTGCTGCTAAATGGTGGCCCCTTACGAAGAGCATTTCTAACCCCCAATAGCACAGTCAATATTAATTGCAGAGCACACTTGCTGTCTAGTGACCCTGCCCATGTCCAACGCTGCCATCCACAAAGCCTAATTATTTGCAACTGCTTCTGTGCATTTTCATCCTCTCACTTAATTGTCAAAAATTTTACTGTAAGCTTCTTTGACTTTTTTCTCTTTCTTTTGCTTATGTTACTCTAAAGTTCAATGTTCATGGACAGCACTATATAAAAATTGGCACTGGAGCTCATAATCTAATGACAATTGTGTGCCCATCCCCCATCCCCCTTTTCTTGTTTTCTGGTAAGCAATGTTATTGCCACCCCCACAGCAGCTGACACATTTCAAACTCCTTCCCCATGTGACATCTGCCCTAAATGCACCACTGTGTGCTCTCTTGACTCAGTCAGCTGAGAGTTCTGTTCTTGCCCTGTCACTTCCTGGATTGTTAGTCACCTTGCAGAGCCTGATTTTAGTAATAGTGGTGAGATCGGAAGTGTTGTACTGTAAAAACATAAAGCTTTTCATTTCCCAAAAGACTGTTAACTTTTCCCCAGAATTCAAAAAGGGCCAGATTAGTCAGTTTAAACAAACACCACAGCTCTGATCCAGTGATAACCCCTTCATTCGTCACTGAATATGTGTTTTTTGTGTATGTGTGTGACTTGTTTATTTTTCTAAGGCTTGTATCCAATGCTATTTGTGTTCAGAGTATATCCACTGATCTTTCTGAACGTGGCTTAGATCCAATGCACCCACACTGAGTAGGGCGAACACTGGTTCAAACCCCAAACGCCCATTTTCGAGATCAAAGGGCAGCAGAAGGAATGTTGTCACCCTGTCTGTGTCTGGCAGAGGAAGTCGGTTACAGCTGCTAGGCCCAAGCACGGTTTTGTTTTTACGTTGGGAGCTTCAATCTGGGCGTATTTGGGGCGACCATAGTGAATACCCATAGGGAAATTAATAGGGGCGGGAGGAGGGGGATGGGCAGCGAACAGAGAAGCAGCTTTCAGGGGGGAAAACCCTATTTGGCTTCCAGTGTAATGGGAGCTGATGAAAAAGGGAGTTCCTCCGCGGAGGAGCTCCGGGCTTCGACGTTCCCCGCAGGAGCTCAGCCCGAAGAAGCGCAGCATCGGGCGAAGGTGCGAGGGGAGCGAAGGTGGGGAGAGGAAGGGGAAGGGTCAGAACATAACACCCCACCCAGGTATTGGGGGTCACAGGTCAAGGGGGCAGGTCGCTGCCGGGACTCCCTCCCGCGCCCAGTACCTAGAAGCCGCTCGAAGGTGCCGCCGCCTCGCCCCATGGCGAACCCCGTCCAAGAGCAGGTAGCACCGACCGCTGGATCTGGTTCGCCTCGGAAACCCGCTTCCGCAGCCTAGGCCCCGCTTCCGGCTTCCGCGGAGCGCCGAGGCGGGACTTCCGGCGGCAGCCATTTGGCGATTGGCGGACGTGGCGACCGGAGCGGCTTGTCGGTCCAGGAGCGGATGGGTTCGTGGCGGGGAGGAAGCGGCCGCCTCTGGTTGCTATGGTGATGGCCGGCGGCGGCGGCGGCTCCACTTACTTGCTTCTGGGGGGTTCGGGCGCGGGCAAGACCCTGTTGGTGAAGCGGCTGCAGAATATCCCCTCGTGGCTGGGAGGAGGGCCAGGGCTGGGGCTGCGGGGGCCGGGCAGAGGAGGAAGCGGGGAGGCTGCCTAGGGTGGAAAGGGGTGGTGGGTGAGCTGCATCTCTTTGGCCTGTGTGGTGTAGTGGTTAAGAGCGGTAGATTCGTAATCTGGGGAACTGGGTTCGCTTCCCCGCTCCTCCTCATGCAGCTGCTGGCTGACTTCTCTGAAGTCTCTCAGCCTCACTCACACTTCTCTGAAGTCTCTCAGCCCCACTCACCTCACAGAGTGTTTGTTGTGGGGGAGGAAGGGAAAGGAGAATGTGAGCCGCTTTGAGACTCCTCGGGGTAGTGATAAAGCGGAATATCAAATCCAAACTCCTCCTCTTCTTCTTGTGCCCCTCTTGCTGGTCACCCATGCCTGCCTGGCAGTGCGAGTAGGCACGAGTTTGGGCAAAAGCCGTGGAGGGAGGGAGAGGGGGAGGAGATAGTTCCTGGTGACACAAAGTTAAGTGTGATGGGAGGATTGGCTTCATGACAACAGACCCTTCCCGTGAGGGCTGCCATATTTTGAAAAGCAAAACTTTTGTGACTTCCACTTTTAACTATGGATCACTACAACTCTATCAATGAAAAAAGGAGGACGTGCCCTGGGAAAAGAGGACATATGGCAACCCCACTCCAATCCTCTCTCCTGGGGGTTGAGGGAAACCCTTGCACCTGTTTGGGCTCTGTGCTGTGTTGTACCGAACCTTTTTCCATTCCAATCCCACCACTTTCCTTAACAGTCTCTGCACAGCTGAGCTCCAAAGATGGCGCCAAAGACCTTGGGGAGCCGCCAGCTACTCTGCCTACGGTATGGCCTTTCTTGTCTTTGGTTTGGTTCTTGTGGCTCAGCAGATGGGGCTCAGCTGTAGAGCATGGGCTCTGCAAGCAGAAGGTGCCAGCAGGTTTGCTCCTGAACATCTTGTTCACAGGATCTTGAGTAGCATCAGTAGGAAAGAACCACTGTCAGCCCGAGTAAATATTGCCCAGCTAGCCCACCAAGAGTATGACTTGGCATAAAGCAGCTTCTCGTGTTCCAATTGGTACAGGATGTTGTGGTACCCAGATTAGAGATGATTTACTGCTCCTGACAGGAAGACATGGCAAAATCTTTGACAGAAGCAAACTGTGGTAAAGATAAGGGCATTGCTGTGGTCACACTAGCTAATGTTTTACACTTCTGCCGTCAATGAAATCAAACTTCATTGAGCAAATTTCATCGGTGAAATTGAACACTGTATATACAGATTGGTTTATTTCAGAGTGGTTTTTGCTTGTGTGATAATGGCTGGTAGGTGGCTCTCAGGGAGTGGTTGTTCTAAGGCAGACCCCAACCTCTTCCTTTAGTTTCTGCTGTGATTACCTTTGTTGCATTTTGTCACTCTTCTTGGTACAATGGATACTCCTCTTATATAGCTTGTATAGCTTACACATGGCTGTGTGTTGTAGTCGGCTTACAGTTCGTTGCACACTACATAACTATTATCACGTCACCCTGTCCCCAGCCTCCTGCAAGTATTAATATTGCTCCAAATATTTTCAAAATAAGCTTGGAGAAGCTCAGCAACTTTGGGAAAAGAAGCAATTGTACACAAGGAGAGGACATAGTTCAGTGGTATGTATAAGGCAAGACCACATTCAGCATTTTGGGGTTTCTGGGCAACACACCATCAATAAAAACAACCAAGAAACTTTTAGTACTCTTAAGACACTGGTTAAAACTATTGAAACTATTAAGCACAGTGGTTTTGATCACACAGACATTCCTAGAGCCCTCTGCCCAGATGAGTCATGTAAATACAGTGGTACCTCAGGTTGCATACGCTTCAGGTTACATATGCTTCAGGTTACAGACTCCGCTAACCCAGAAATAGTGCTTCAGGTTAAGAACTTTGCTTCAGCATAAGAACAGAAATCGTGCTCTGGTGGCGTGTCGGCAGCAGGAGGCCCCATTAGCTAAACTGGTGCTTCAGGTTAAGAACAGTTTCAGGTTAAGTACGGACCTCCGGAACAAATTAAGTACTTAAACTGAGGTACCACTGTAAACTAAACCTCAAACCAAATTAGTTTGTTTTAAAACAACACTTTGACCAACTCTCTGTGATGTAGCTAAAGGGTAGCTTCACCATTCTCTATACCAGTACTCCCTGGGAACACTGTTATTTCACACCCCACAGCTCTTAGTTTACCTACACAAAATGACACTTTTACAGTCTGCATTAGTCCACAACAGGCTGCTTGATCCATGAGATATGTACAGTGTGATCCCATAAATGTCTACTGAGAAGCAAATCCCACTGAATTCAGTGGGACTTGCTGCCAGTAGAAGACTTCAAACCTATGCACATATTTGGGAGTAAGACACATTGAGTTCTTTAACTTCCAACTAAGTATGCACAGGATTGCACTGTCATTATAAGGCAGCAGTAGTTCGTTTTGAGAATTGTAACTGTATCTCCAGCTTATCGGACTTTTTGAGTGCATGGAAGAGCTCCAATCAGATTCTTCCAGTGCCAAGAGTTGAGTCATACTTGACAGAAGTACCTGGACCAATCCCTTTGCCTGTGTTGTGAATAACAGCTCAGTTACCCACCAGCGTACAAGTCTAATTGGTGGTTGTCCCTTTGCAGGTTGGCACAAACCTTACTGACCTTCAAATCCGAAAGAAAATAACAATTCGTGAACTGGGAGGATGCATGGGCCCCATCTGGTCTAGTTATTACAGTGACTGTTGCTGCGTCCTGGTAAGGGAAATCTGTCCACTCCTGTGGCTGTTTGCTGCTCTTAATTACTTACTTTCATTAAAAATGAAAGCATAGGATCTGAAGGGCCTGGAACATCAGCACGTCCTACACCTGCTCCTTGGCAGCCCTATGTACAATACTTCCACTTAGAAAAAATAACTCAAATTTCTAGAAAATCTTGCTCTGACCAGAGAATAACTAGGCAGTTTGTATGCTGCAGCACCTCAGTAGTTCATGCATATTTCCAAATTCTTCTGGCTATGCTGTATTGGAAAACTCTGGAACTTTAGTTTTTCACTTTGGAGCTCCCTTTGAATCATTCTCTTTTTCTTTCTGTCTCTTCTGCAGTACATGATTGATGCTGCTAAGCCTACGCAAATCTCCTCATCCTGCATTCAGCTTCTGTCACTTCTTTCTGCTGAGCAGCTAGCATCGGTTCCTGTACTCATCATTTTCAACAAGATGTAAGCGATATTTAACTTTAATCTCTGTGCAGGGGACTCTGGAAGAGGGGGAGCAGAATTTGATGGGCTTCAGTGACTATTAGTAGCCAATGACAAGGCAGTGGGATGATGACAGTTATCAGAATGGGGATATTTTAATTTTCAGTTGATTTGCAACCTGCTCACAATGTTCCACTGCAGGGCTTTTTATTGGAAAGTTCAGCAGGCAGTAAAAAGTGTGTTACTACTGTTTTCTCTCTCTACTTGGACTTTAGTGACCTACCCTGCTATATGTCCCTTGTGGAGATGAAGTCATTGTTCCGAATCCAGGATATCATTGCCTGTGCCAAGCAGCCCATCACTGTTGTAGAGACCAGTGCGCGTGATGGCAATGGCTTATCCAATGTGATGCAGTGGTTTCATTCTACAACCCAATGTGATTGAAGCTGGAGATTACTCTCACCTCAGGTACCTTGGTTGGACATGGAACAACAGAAAGAGAGCTAGGCAACAGTCCTAGTCTTATCACTTAGGAAGCGGCAGCTAGCAAAATTTATAGCCAGCAAAACTTAATAGTTCCCTGCAGGCAGTGGAAACAACATTGCTGCTATGGACTTTGGATGTAGTTTGAACCCAAAAGTAAATATTTTCCTATTTAAATCATTCAGTATATTGCCTCTTCTGTTTTGCATGTGCTACTAGGCTCCTGGAAGAGAATGCTTCTATGGAAGGGGAGGACAAACTACATGTCTGTCTCATCCATTTATTTTAAATAAGGTCTTAATTTCTCACAGTCCAAGTTCCCATGGCATCTGTGCCAGTTCTCAAATTCCTTCTGTGGCTTAGAGCCTCTTTGCAGGATTCTTTGTTCATGCAATGAATGCAGAGTTGTTAACAAAGGATCCTAAAGGTACCTCTTGGTTTCAGGGATAATGTAACTTTTACCCAATATAATATAGAATAAATTTCTCCCTTCAGGTATTCACACAACAGCAGTTGCAACTGGCCTGTGGAATGTGGTTGTGTGTCGAAGGCACCTATTTGATTATATGTGGCATGAAACTTACCTTCTGCCATATCCTTTTGTGACATTATTAGCTGCATATCATTCTCACTAACCATTGTCGTTTACACCAAACCCCATGTCCCTTGCTTCATCTGCTACAATGGCAAGATCTTTGATTAACAGAATGGTGAAAAGGCAAAGGATCCATTTGTCCATCCATCCTGTACATCAGTGAAGAAGCGACTTGCTTGGACTAATTTTCTGTGCCGAGCCCTGCCTCCTTTTGCCCAGAATCAATCACAGACTTTGGGCCATGTGAAGGAGGTGACACTTTGAAAGTTTAAAAATAGCCACCCCTCTCATCCTTTAAATACCTGATGGAATAAAAATGGGGTGACTAATTTTTAGATGGTTAGGACAGAACCAATCTGGGGAGTTTCCTTGGGAAGGTATTTTGAGCTAAGCAGTGTAACACTGCCGAGAAAAGAGCTTTAAATGTCCAGGAAATGGTCCAGAAGCAATTGGGGGGGGGATCAAACTAAGATACATTTAAGCATAAAAGTACATTTAAACTAAGGAATTTTGAAAAAGATGATGGTGATCTGTTATATTATCATCAGCCATAATCTATGCTGTTTTTCCGACAATTATTGTCTCTCAAAGCTACTCAGATCAATAATAATAAAAAGATGTACTGCCAGCAGGCTCACAAACCAGGGGAATAGCAAAAGAGGAAAGGATGGGGCAGGGGAGGTGAAGGAGGGAAACCAAATCTTCACAAGTAGAATCACAGAATTGTAGTGTTGGGAGGGACCCCGAGGTTCATTTAGTCCAACCCCTGCAATGCAGGAATATGCAATGCAGGAATATGCTGCTGTCCCATACAGGGATCGAACCTGCCACCTTGGCATTATCAGCACCAAACTCTAACCAACTGAGCTATCCAGGCTTCATGAACAGCTGTAATTGGGTAGTTTTTCAAAAGAGAATGTTTTTAATAACATCAAATCAAGATGTCCTGGTAAAAATGGCATCCTGCCAACAAATGTCTTACAATCTTCTTACTGTGCTTCTATGGCCCTATAAATCCACTGTGCAAAGCCCAAAAGGAAGGGCCATTACAATTCTTAAAAATTCAGTGTTTGGTTCTTCTCTTTTAAATATCATTAGTTTCTGTATGATTCAAGTACTTGGGTCCAGCTCAAGGAACATTTCAATTTGCCTGTTCATGGAAGCTGGAACTGCCAGCAAATATTAAGAATTGATGTTATTGGGCTGAAGATGGATGAGATTCTCATGATCTTCTGAACACAGAGAAGCTTGAAGGCAGACAAGAGGAGACCGACATTTCCAGCAGCACGGGCTATTCCTCAGAGAATTCCTAGAGCAGCCGACATCATCCTCCGTCTCACAAGGAGCATTTCAGGCAAAAGTTCATCTTGCCCATCCACTGATATACTGCTGGATTGAAAGGGAAATTTCAGCTGCCATTGTTATTAGAGAACTGGTTTTATTTTTACAATCAGAATAATGGTCCCAAATATGCACCACTCAGCAACAACACCTATATTTTTCAGTTCTTCCTTTTAGTGCTCTTTTACGTTCCTCACTTACCAGAATGGCTGTTAGTAACACACCCTCCACCTCTAATCTTGCTTGTAAATTATTGCCTTGGGAGTGTGCTGGGAAGTGAACAGAAGAGCTAAGAGATTGCCAGCATCCAAGGACAAACAAGATGCAACAGTGGCACAATCCTGTGTTAGTGGATCATGCCAAATTCCTATTAAGCAGAGTGGTGGTAATATAAAATGAAACCTAGGCGAGACAGCAGTGCCAAGCCCTTCTCCCACCTGCTCTGCCCCCAATTTATTTTTGGCAGGAATTGTTTCTGATGGAAGAGAAAAACAACTTGGAGAAAAGTACAGGCAGAGCAAGAGTTCAGCACCCTCCCACTTTCCTGTGCTGCACTTTAAATTGCTCCCCTGCCCTGTTTCATAGGAAATTGATAGCAATCCGATTCTCTCCAATCTCCTACCATCATATCTTGCTTGCCCCCAAGGTCCTGCAATTTACTTCCATCATTTTGATTTCCTAGTGAAATACATTTTCAAAAATGGACTGCATTTCCTTTCTCTCTGTGTGTACATATGCATACATTAAGCAGTAACAGGAGAGAGCGCTGCAACACAGCCAAGCTTGTCTCATTACCAGTCTCTGCAGATTTTTTGCTTATATAAAATCCACATATAAGCAGGGTGAGTGGGGGGTGGGGAGTATGCAGCTCTTGCCATCCTCATCACCTCCCAGAAACTGCAGGGCCAGTCTCCTGTATTCATGGAGGCTCCCTGCACAATTCAGGACAAGGGAAGATTCAAGGTGCTTTGATGCATCATTCAAAAGCACCCTGCCTGCCAGGCACAAACTGCACAGGCAAGAAGCCACAGACTATGTGGGCTTAGGGGTCATCGGGTAAGCAGGAAGCAGAGGGAAAGGAGAAAAAGTTTCCTAATATCCAGCATGTTTTGGACCTCTCGGGTCCTTCATCAGGAAGTTACAACCTTCTGTTATACTGTCTCCACTTTCCTTTTACAGTACCTTATTCTCCTACCTTTTTGCTTCCTCTGCCCTGCCCCATTAGCCTCTGCTGCACCTGCATGGGCTCAGTGTAAGGTGTACACTAGCTTTGGCTAAGGCACTAGTTCATTATGTATGTGCTACCCAGCCAAGCAGCTTGGCAGCAGCATCTTGTCAGTTCCATGGAGCTCCTCAATAGTCTTACCTCACCTTCAACTGCCCCAAAGCCTTACCTCATCTTCAGTTGCTGCATTCTCATTTCCCATATATAGTATGAAGCTTCTGAATGAGAAACATCTTGTCTTCCCCTTCCTGGAACGTTAGAGACATTAAGGTGAGTTGCGGGAAAGTGGCTTTCTTGAACAAATGCTAGCGATGTTAGGAATCTATATAAAAGGTTGAAACAAATGTGATCTGTGCTCATTTCATCCAGCTAAAGAAACGTTTCCATTTGCCTTTCCATGGCAGCTGGGATTGCTTGCAATTGGTAAGAATGGACGTTCTGGGACTGAAGGTGGATGAGATTACTGTGAAATTTCCTGAACAGGAAGAAGCTTGAAGGGAGGCAACAGGAGACTTGACATTTTCAGCAGCATGGGCCTGTTTGCCATTACTGGAGGGCTTAAAATCTATTCTGCCATCTCCCAAGAAGCATTTCAGGCAGATAATAAAAGTTTGTAATGCCCATTGCGTTTTCCTAACTGCTGTAGGGGTCTACTGCAAGTTTAATCTATTTATTATTAGTGAAGTGTCCTGCCATTATGACTAGCACGATTCATGCAGACAAAGGGACTGTTCACAGCAGGAACCTAATGTGGAAGATGCATCTGTAGAATTTTGTATACAAGCACTTTGCGTGAGCACACACATATACACAGCCGTCTTCAGAAATATCTTTCAATGGAAGCTGAGAAACCAAGTATGCTTCTATTGCACTGCTTTTCACCACAGGGGAAATAATCCTCCATTCATTCATTCAGGGAAAGAAACAGACTGCAGCCCATTTGCTTTGGTTCCAATAAATTCCAAGAACTAAGGGCCCAGTTCTTAAGGCCCCACTCAGCATGGTACTCATATTCTCTGACAAAGCAGGAATTAGCAGCACTTTCAGGTCTCAGAACTGCACAGGATAAAGCAGACTCCACTCACATTGGCAATCTGCTCCTTCAGCAGGGTAATGATTTTCCGTTGACCTTTCACCACTTGGAAGTTGAGGTAGATCACAGCTCTGCAAAATCACAAAGGCGCAGGACAGAATGAGCACACAGAGATGTTAAGCGAGAAATGCACAGAAGAGTAATATGCACACCAGGGATGTGGAACAGATTGGTGACAGAACTGATCCATTATGGTCTGCCCTCATACAGAGAAGAGGGAGGGCACTCAACCCTCGTGATCCATTGGGCAGTCAGAAATCCTGGGTGTTGGCGCATCTAAGACACTCCTTCCCATGAGTATGTTTGACAGCTTTGAGATGTACATAGGTATGGTTAGCTGGACACAGAAACACCCCCAAATTTCCTTCTCTAGATTGCATCATAATAGGATTACGTAACACAGGGGTAACTAATGTGGTGCCCCTCCAAATGTTGTGCAACTTCCATCAGCCCCAGCCAGGGGGCAAGTTGCCACAGATGTTGGAAATGGGAATCCAGCAACAAATGCAAAGGCCACCAAATAGGAAATTGTGGTGGCGTTGGAACAGCATATGGCATCAACAGTGGTAAAGAAAAACTTGAAATGTGCAGGTTATATTTACAGGTTTAGTAAGTTGCATTAGTGCTAGCTTAAGAGGTACCCCAGCTTGATAAGGGGAGGTGTCCCACAGTGGAAGCCATCAACCTTTTACAGAAGAGAACAGCTGATGCTACTGAAGCTGAACTATGCTGAGAACAGGGCACACAATCAGCCTTCCTTCCATTTATATCACAGGTTGAGGTATATGCCATTCCCGGTAAACCCTGTATGGTATTCACCAAACCACTTTGATTTTTTTAGGTTGGGAAGGGAGAAACCATCTATGGGTTTCTAAGCTTAGATAAATAACGGAGTCTTTCCAACTTACAGCAAAATTCCAGCAATCAAAAACAGGAAGAAGCTATTTTGGATCAGGTGCTGGTGGATCCAGGTAAACCAAGTGAGGTTTGGGTTGGATTTCTCCAGCTTCAGAACCCAGGTCTTCCCAGACTCATAGATGGTCTCGTGGTCTCGGAAGGGTCCACATATCTTTGATGGTTTCACTCTGGATGGAGAAAGAGCAGCTCAGCATCAAAGAGCTATTCAAAGGACTGTTGCTCTACCTGGCATACAAAAGCTACACACCTAATCATTTTGTTTTTACAACATTTATACAGCATTTTTCGATAACTTACAAAGCCATTTGTAGCATAAAAATGTAAGTTCAAAGGTGAGCGTCACTGATTATTTGGCCAAAATGACACCACAAGAGGGAGATACCAGCAGGCTCGAAAAAACCTAAAGGTTTGCAGAAATGCAAAAACGAAACAACCTTTAGACAGAAACCAAAACAAAAGATAGCCGAATAAGAACAGAGTGTGCTCAGCAGCCATGGAATGCTGACTGACTGTCTGAGTTAAAGAAAACAAGAGAAAAATGGGTGGGAGGGGAATGGAATGGAACGGAATATCATGCAGAAGACCATGGCTGACTGAACAGGAGTACTCCACTCTGCAACCTTTTACTGCAGGCCCCACATGGGTTTAACTAATAACTGATTGTGTAAATGTCTGAATATTCAGCTGCCTGCAGTAGCTAGAGGCCCATTTTCAACTACAAGCAACTCCCCATTTATGCACATTCAAGGCACCCACCACCGCACATGCACGCATTACAGCAAACCCAGAAGTGGCCCAAAAAGGGGCAAAAACAGCAAACATGGCGCAAGAACAGAATCTAGCACGAGCCTTGGCAATTGCGATCCCAGAAACACTTGAACTGACCTCTGCGGCCTATGGAGAGTTTGAGCATGGAGGTTTGGAGGGTCTTTGCAGACTTTTCAATAGTGTTCCCAAAATTCACGATTTCACTTAAGCGTGCAGCGCCTCAGAACGTAACCCCCACATAAATGGGGAGCTGCCTGCATTTCTCTTATATGCCAATTTGCACAAAGACAAGTTTTTAATATGTTATCTATTATGTACCATACCATAATTAGCAGTATCAAAACAGGTGCGCATGTCTGCCAAAATGAAAGCAAAAATCCTTAATTATGTTTGACCCCCAACCCCATATGGAAAGAGTGGTTTATAGTATGTCCTGTGAGCAGGATGCCAAATGCAAGACTTCTGACACATTCTTCAAAGGAATAGCAATAAATTTTATGTTTAAAAAAAGCAGCACATCAGAGGCCACGATGACAGCATGCTCACCAGCATCAGAGAAGTCTTTCAGACTTTAATGCCTTGAAGGTAGGCTAGTGTGGCTGCACCAGTGCTAGGTGGAAGATGAGCTTTTATGAGCGAGGGAGCAATGCAGACTAGTAACAAAGTGCCTTTCAGGTAGGCATGGGGACAGCTTTGCAGTAGAATGGGACCAAGAAGCCCA